GGATTTGTAGTCTTCTTCGCGTTCATGTAGACCAGTGCTTGGCAATCTGTAACCACTGTAAACTTGATTCCTACGAGGAACTGACGTAGTCGATCCAAGGTCCACACTATCGCCATCAGCTCCAATTTGCTTGAGTGGTACATCTTCTCGGCCTCTGTTGTCTTCTTGCTCACACAGTAGACCAAGCGCCATTTGCCGTCTTCGTCCATCTGTAGCACCATTCCTGCTAATCCCTCAGCACTCGCATCGCAATGTACTTCTGTCTTGAGTTCAGGGTTGTAATGAGCTAGTACCGGATATTCGACCAGATCCTTTCGTAGTCCTCCAAATGACCTTCGCTGTTCTTCCTTCCATTCAAATTGTGAACCTTTCTTCGTAAGTCTGCTTAGCGGTTCTGCTTTCCTCGCGAAGTCCTTTACAAAGTCTGAAGAAGTTCGTCAGTCCCAGAAAGCGTCGTATGTCGTGGACATTCTTGGGTTCTGGAAATTCTTCTATCGCCTTGATCTTTCTTGGGCCTGGCTTAAGTCCGCCTGTACTGATGACATACCCTAAGAACTCAACTTCCCTCCTTCCGAACTCACATTTGGAGGGTTTCAGTGTCAACTTCGCTGATCTTATTCTTTCGAGGACTTCCCTCACCTTCGATCATCTCCCGCCAATCCTTTGCCGGATAATCACGTCGTCGAGATAGCAGAATGCCTTCTTGTTCAGCAGCGGACCTAGGACAGTGTGCATCAGTCTTTGGAATTCAGCTGGTGCGTTGGCGAGTCCAAAAATCATCCTTTCGAATTGACCTGTATCGTCTGGGGTGATGAATGCTGTCTTTAATTTTGCCTTATCGGTCAGTGGTATCTGCAGATATCCATGCGCCAGATCCAGAGTGGTGAAGAATTTCGCATTCCTTAGGCCTTCCAGAAGGTCGTCTATCCTTGGTAATGGGAACTTGTCCTTAACTGTTTGAATGTTGAGTCTCCTATAATCTACCACCAGACGATGATCTCCAGTTTTCTTCCTCACAAGTAGGACGGGACTAGCGTAGGGTGATCTAGTTTCCGTGACTATTCCATTGTCCTTCCACTCTCTGACAATCTCCCTGATTGCTTCGCGTTCACTTGCAGTCGTCTTATACGGTCTCAGACAGACTGGCTTGCTTCCATCAACCTCCTTAATGTCCATCTTGGTGACATCGGTGCACCCTAATTCCTCCATGCCAAGAGCGAAACAGTCTCTATACTCGTTTACTACATCTAGGATTTCTTGTCTCTCTTTCGAAGTCAGAGAATGATTGACGTTGATGTCCTCAGGCAGTATGGGGCGCTTACGTTTCATTTGGTCTTGTCCTTCCCTCTTCTCTTCATTTTAGTCTGAAACGAATCCTCTGCGACGTCCAGGTTAACAACAATATCATCAAGGTTCAGTAGTTCAACTCGCCCTAACATTGGTTCTTCCTTACTCTCAACTTGCCCTTGCCAGCTGAGATGATGGGTACGGTCGTCTTTCCATCGACCACTTCCAATAGGGAATCGACACAGGCGTCATCTACTCCTGTGAACAATACATATCCGTCCTTTACCTCGTCTGTGATTGCACTTGTAAAGTTAATGGAGTCGCTCTCCAACTGAACAGTTTCGGTTGCTCTCAGTTCGATGCGACGCGACTTGATTTCTTCTTGCAGATTAGCAAACGGAAATTCGGATGAATAGCCAATATGCAAGTTTTTACCAATTCTGGCGAAGGATACGTAGGGCAGGTCTGTCCATGTTCTTCCAATTAATAGGTCATAGGGTTGGGCATCATCGTTGACAATGAATACAGTGATTTCCCTTCCGACGATGCCATCAATCTCCAGGTCGACTGTCGTCTTCCCAACGGTCCTGGCAGCTGGTGCAGTCTGGTTATCGATGCCGTACGACTAGTCGAGTCTGGTTCGATGTCGACGCTGATCCTCCTTGCGACCGATTCTCTCATTAGACAACTGCTGCTCCCGGTGTCTATCATTGCCTTCACGGTTTCCTTGTTGTCGATCTTGACATCCTTCAAATATACATCTGGCGGGACAGTCTCCAGTCCTTCGACTTCCAGGTTGGCTACTTTTAGTCCTTCTTTGGGTCTTGTGCAATTCCTTTCCTTGTGTCCCGTTTGACCGCATCCTCGGCATGTCAACGTAGACCTGGGTGCTGGGCAGTCTCTGGCAATGTGTCCAAACTGATTGCAGTTGAAGCACTTCGGTTCTCCCTTGTCGTTTCTGATCGTACGGTTGACCATTCTCCTCAAGGTGTTAGGGTACGTTTCACTGATTTCGTTCCTTGCAGCGTCTTGACCCGAAACATTCGTTCCTTGTTTAGTCTCTTTAACTTCGCTTTGGTTGGGGAATCTCGCAGATTTCTGCTGAAACGACGGTGGTATGAGGTGTTTCGCATTCCAATGCGGAGGTCCCATCTCGGTACGAACATTTTCGTACTCTTCCAGTTTATCCGCCAACTCATCTGGGTTGTTTAACTTGGTCCAATCGTCAATGAGATGATTACGCAGCACATTTGGAACTTTTTTCTTTAGCTGGTTAGTGACGGACAAATCCTTTAGGGCGTCGAAATTTTCCACGTTCATTCCTTCGATCCATTCGTTGAAATATCCTCGCAATTCGAAAGCGAAGTCTCTCCAGGAACCCTTTTGAGATCTCTCGTGCTTCTCGAATTTTTGTCTGAATTGTTCGGGGCTCAACTTGTACCGTTTTAGGAGCAACCTTTTCACGAACCTATAATCGCCGCTTTGTTCTTCTGTCTCCCGAGCGATTAATTGAGTCATTTCGTAAGGTAGCAATCCTAGGAGGCTGAACGCCCATTGGTCTTCATCCAATCCTAGTCGCTTTGCCTGTCTTTCGAAAAGAATTAGGTCAAAACTCAAATCATTGTCCTTCGACTCGTACTTGGGCATCAGTTTACGTATCTCGTAATGTGCGTCATTGCTGGTACTTCGAGACGTATCGTTGTTTCCGCGTGTAGTCTGGATGCGCAGCTTCTCAAGCTCGAATTCCATTACCATTTGTTCTTTCGTTCCCGTTCGATTCGTTCCGATCCTCGATTCGTTCCCGCTCTTCGATTCGTTCCCGATCCTCGATCAGAGTCTCCAACAGTTGCTTTGCGAACTCTTCTTCGTAAGATTGGCTATTCAAAATAAGGTGTTTTAAGTCGACGATCCTGCTCTCTGGCGGTACTACCTCGCCGAGTTCATACGCCAACTTGCTCAAATCGCATTTCCTTACTTTCGCTAAATAAGTCATGTTTTTCAAAAGGAAAAATAAACAAAGCAAAAATTTTAAAATAAACAAATAAAACTGACTAAACCAGATACGTACTGTTCCAATTATTTCTTTAAACGAAATCAACTTTTCTTTAGAAATTTTGAGACAATACTTTTTTTTTCTTTTTACCGCGATACTTTGCGATAATACTTTTTATCGAGATGATTTTGAAATAATACTTTTACCGCGATACTTTGCGATAATACTTTTATCGAGATGACTTGCAATAATACTTTTACCGCGATACTTTGCGATAATACTTTTGTCGAGGTGACTTGTAATAATACTTTTACCGCGATACTTTGCGATAATACTTTTGTCGAGGTGACTTGTAATAATACTTTTAGGAATAGGTAATTAAATTTTGTACATACCATGCAGCTCCTCTTACGTTGATCGGTCACCGCGCCACGTCCTTCTCGTTTCCAAATTATTCCAGTGAATCTTCAATTTTCTTCAGGACCATCCCACTTCTGAATTTCTGTTGGCTTCCGTAGGCGTTTCTTACTGGGAAAAAGAAAGAGAAGATCCAATGAAATATTTAGTAGCATTTATTAAAACAAAATCATAATAGTGAACAACACATATAACAGAGAGTTACCGTCGTCTTCGGGTATTCCCTCTACTGGGGAGCTCGGATTCTATATTCTGTGCGTTTATAATCTGTTTATCTGTGGCTCTCTGGTCGGGATGGCGCCTACAATTGGGTCAGTCTGGGAGCTGGTTTCCTTGCAGGAAAGAGCAGGGCAGGTTTGAGTGCCGCGGCAAGCAGTCTTGGGCTTGTTGGCCTCCTCAATTTCGTCCAAACTCTGCGAGAAGACTCGAGGGTGTCAGTGAGGTTCTCTACTTCGGTTAGCGAGGGCCTTGATCAATTCAGTCCGCGAGGCGTTGTAGCGGATCAGGTCCTCATGCAGGGATTTCAGGGCAAGATGGCCAATGGAGCTCAGGAGGATGCTGCAGTTGCGTGAGTTAACCATCTCATCTTCCCTCTCCAGGTCGGCGACGTTCACGATGGGCTTGTAGGCCTTTTTTTTTCTTGGCAGGATTCATGTATTCGGTAGACGTCGTACCTCAACGACCAAAAGAAATTGGTCATTAAGGATCCTGTAAAAATCATGAAACGGGTAGTTAAGGCCAGAATTGCGTGAGAACGCTACACAATGTGAAAAATTAGTACAAATGTTATTGTACTGGGATAAAGTGCATAAATTAAGAAAAAGGCATCTCCTTATCGTGCAACTGAAAGTTGCTAATGGCTTGCGCCATCTATCGGAATAAATATCAACTATTCTCGTTGATTTTTACTTATTCCAGAATTGGCCAAATACCCATTCTTGATTAATCAAGAAAAGCTAACCACGGACGCGTTTCGGGCTGTTGGCCCTCATCAGCGTGGTGCAAGCTGTACCTCAACGACCAAAAGAAATTGGTCATTAAGGCATCCTGAAAAATCATGAAACGGGTAGTTAAGGCTAGAATTGCGTGAGAACGCTACACAATGTGAAAAATTAGTACAGTTGATGACGCAAGCCATTAGCAACTTTCAGTTGCACGATAAGGAGATGCCTTTTTCTTAATATATTATATTATTAATATATATAGTCAGGACCGTCTTTCCTCATCGGCCTCTGTCACGGATGCGCGCGCACGGGGAGGTCACGTGCTCGCCGGCAGCCAATAAAAATTAAAAAAAAAAAACACTCTCGAGCCGGATTTGAACCAGCGACCTAAGGATTACCGTTGTAACATCTACAGTCCTCCGCGCCGCCAACTGTGGGTTGTCGAGGGATACAAACTGTATGAATAGGTTTACCTTATGAAGTCAACTAATCCTATTTCTACACAAAATGTACTCATACATATATTATATTATATTATTATTATTATTATTAATATATATAGTCACGACCGTCTTTCCTCATCGGCCGCCTCTGTCACGGATGCGCGCGCACAGGGAGGTCACGTGCTCGCCGGCAGCCAACGGGCGCGCGCCGCCGGCAGGGGGGGCATTACGTCACTCAAGGTCACCTACGCGCCAACGATGACACGTGATCGCAGCCGTCCAATAGGAGGCGCCGGCCATCCGTGACAGAGGCGGCCTATGACTGATTGATTAGGATTAGGATATGCATTTATTTAAGGCGCCAATTTATATTTGTAACAAATAGTATTTGAATAAAAACATTCAATCGGGTAAAACACGGGCGTTGGGTCATTCGGCTAGTATTAATATATATTTAAAGAAAATTTTCTATTTACAACATCAACAAAACAACTTTATTAGGGCGTCTTGCCTGTACATATTCGCCGTGGAATTACAGACAATATTCAACACAAGAGAAAAGGGAGAGATAGAGTATTTACAATTAAGGTATGGTAAACAGGGTAACTTTTCTATTGTGCCCCTGTTCTTCTCTCTTCCGCGAGTGCAATTTTATTAACAACCGCTTTTTGAAAGTTGAACAGTTCTATTGCCCAACATTTCTTATCTGAAACAGTTTTTATTATCTTTATTGAGTCCAAATGCGGTCTAGGAAGACTTTTCAGGATCTTTTTTCTCTCTCCTTCCAGATCCCCGCACTCAGCAGTAAAATGGTATATTTCATCGATTATCTGACTTCCGCATAACCTACAGTACAAATCTTCTTTCTTAATTACGTAAATATGATTTTCTTTGATCAGTGTTGATATTAATCTGATCTGCGCAATAAAACTCACTAAAGCTGAGGACAGATTGCATGAAAAATAATGTTCTGGAATGAATGAATCATAAAGTAACCTATAGTTTGAGTATGTTTTCGTAAGAGATAATTTTGTCAGATCTTGCTGCAATAGCTGTTCAATTTTTATTTTTAGTATATTCGGAAGTTCGATCTGTATGTCATCATAATTTAACCTAAAGTTTAGCCATGTGAGTCCACAATGATTGATATCCATGATATTTTTACAGAATCCTATAGGTTTTTTGTCATTAAGGAAATTTCCTTCAATCTATTCCAGCATAGCTTAGGTAGTCTATTGTCTTCCATTTTTTGTAATCTTATGAAATATTTCATAATTAATTTGATCGTTGTAAAAGTCGGAGATATTCTGCCTGTTTCCAGCCTTACAATATACCCTGGTATATATCTTGGTAGATTCAGTAAGTTTTTGATAAACGTATTCTGTATTTGGTCTATAATATCAGTATTGTCCCAAGCCCACACAGGGGCCGCATAGAGTAGTATTGATTTGATAACTGAGTCAAATAAATTCAGTGCAACTTTTAATGAATTAATTTTTTCCTTTTTTATCAGTCTAATAATTGCATTTATTGCCGTATTTGCTTTGGCTTTATAAAATAGGGCTACCTTTTTGCTATTATTAGTGGTAGTGTAGTGAATGGTTATCCCAAATATTAATGTTGGACGCAACAGTCAGTGGGATGTCCCCCAGTACCAGTTTTCGTGTCTTGCCGGTCTACCTCCATTTCTAAATACCATTATTTTGGACTTATTTTCATTTAAAACTAATTTGTTATTATCCAGGTAAGACTTTAGTAAATTGATTTTAATTTGTATATTAATTTTCGATTCTCCAATTATGGCTATGTCATCCGCATACATAAGTAGGTGTAAAACACCAAAATCAGGGAGATGAAATCCTGTAAGTGCTGAGTTATTATAAAGTTCTATTAGAGGTCGGCCATATATAATATTGTAACATAGTATTTATTATTTTTATTTATGTAAGATATTATTTCTTAATTTTATTATTTTTTATTTAACAGAGTGGTCATTTTTATGTTTTATATCTTGCGACTCTGTAAATTTCCCTCGTGGTTTATCTTTTGTTTACCTTTCTTAGTTTGTCCTTGCCTGAAATAAATTTTGTTTCCTCTGAAGTTTTTGTCTTCCCTAATTTTCCACGTGGCATTTTGGTGGAGATGCTGGGTAGGTTAGGGAAGACAAACTGAAGATCGCCGAGAAGAATTTGAAGCCATGGGTGCTATGATCTACATTTTTAGAGACTGGCTCCAGGATTCCACCGCCGTGTCAAAGCCAAGATTTCCTTCCAAGATGACGATGTCCCTATAGACGACGATACGACGACAAAGCCGCTCTTCACGCCGCAAGAAAATGGACGCAAAGGTACTAGGGACAAAGTTCCAAGACTTCGATGGAATCCTTGGCAGAAGCACGTCAAATCCACGTCAGTATCTACAATAATTGCTAGCTGTGGGTCACAGCTCCCATAGGGAAGAAGCTATGTAACTTAGTATTTATTATTTTTATTTATGTAAGATAGTATTTCTTAATTTTATTATTTTTTATTTAACAGAGTGGTTATTTTTATGTTTTATATCTTGCGACTCTGTAAATTTCCCTCGTGGCTTATCTTTTGTTTACCTTTCTTAGTTTGTCCTTGCCTGAAATAATTTTTTTTTCCTTAAGTTTTTGTCTTCCCTAATTTTCACGTGGCAATATTGTTGCACCAGGTTGCGGCTTGGCAGACTCTTCAGCCTGGATTCTCTCCTGTGCTGGGTCTTGCATCTTACCAGAGCGTGTTTCAACCATCCTACAAATTTATAAAAGGGAATAATGAGATAAGTCTTCTTTAAGTAGCCACCACAATCCTTTATTTATTTTCTCACATCAAAGAGAGCAGTGAAGTCACACGTGTACCTAAATACAAATGATGACAATCTAAATAATCTGTGTTTTAAATAAATATCATAGTATTTATATAAAAATAAATAAATATATAATTTAAATTTCAAATATATTAAAAATAATATAAGAAATACGCCATTAATCATGATGTAACACTTCCCCCTCTCCAGAGGTCGTCACGTCCTCGTGAGTTACCTCATCAATTCTCTCAAAATAGGGTTTGAGTCTTGAGACATGGACAATCAATGGGTCTTGGCCAGGATTATCTTTTGGCTCAATTAAGTAATTTACGTTAGACAGCTTCTTTAATATTCTATATGGGCCAAAATATTTTCTCAGTAGTTTCTCACACTTTCCTATTTTCCTAATTGGTGTCCAAACTGCTACTAATTCTCCTGGTTCGTAGCTTTTTCCATGTGTTTCTTGTCATAGTTCTTTTTCATTCTTTCTTGAGTCTTTATTGTGTTGTTAATAACTAATTTTCTTGTTCTGTTTATTTTGTCTAAGTGATGTTTTATGTATTCATCATAATCATCTTTGTCAATGTCCACCGAGATATTCCTGTCGTCCAAAAGAGACGTGGGTTCTCTTCCAAACATCAGGAAAAAGGGAGAATATCCTGTGGTTTCTGAATTGTAGTATTGTAAGCGTGAGTGATGAATGGGAGTATTTCGTCCCAATTTTTCTGATCAGTGTTCACATACATACTGAGCATATTGATCAATGTTCTATTTAACCGCTCTGTCAATCCATTAGTCTGGGGATGATAGCTCGTTGTGAAGCAATGTTTAATCTTGCACGTTTTCATCACCTCTTTCATTAAATTACTGGTAAATTGAGAGCCTCTGTCACTAATAAGATATTGTGGGGCTCCGTGCCGAAGAAAAATATCCTCTACTAGAAATTTTGAAACTTCTTTCACTGTTGCTTCCGAGACTGCTCTTGTTTCTGCATATCTAGTGTAGTAGTCCGTCAGCACGATTATCCATTTTTTCCTGTTTTTCGTAGATGGTAGTGGACCAACAAAGTCAATTCCAATTCTTTCGAAAGGAAAGTTGGCTGGGGGGATGGGCTGTAGTAGTCCAGAAGGTAATTGGTTTGAGCCTTTCCTACTTTGGCAAAGGTGTGACACGTCTTAACGAATTCTGAGACATCCTTTAGCATGGATGGCCAAAAGTATTTACTCTTTATTCGGTACATGGTTCTGGCGACGCCCAGATGGCCATTCGACATATGATTGTGATATTCTTTCATAATTTCTCTCTTTTTATTCTCTGGAACCACAAGCAACCACGCCCTGCCTTCAGGGTTCGGGTTTTTCTTAAAGAGGCATCCATCTTCTTCTTTAAAGTTTTGCGCAATTGATCGCCTGCTTCCATTAAGGTTTTTCTTAACACTTTCGATAAATTTATCCTCTTCGTCTGTTATTTGATTTAAAAATAGCCTTTCAAAATCCTCATCCCAATCAGTTTCTGGTAAGGGCCCCCTAGATAAGCCATCGGCGTCCAGATGCTTCTTTCCCGATTTATGTATTATATCGAAGTCATATTCTTGAATTTTCAATGCCCATCTTGCCAATCGACCTGTTGGATCCTTCAAGTTTTTGAGCCAGCATAAGGCGTGATGGTCTGTTACTATTTTAAAGTGTCTTCCATAAAGGTAGGGTCGTAATTTTGACATTGACCAGACAACGGCCAGACATTCTTTTTCAGTGGTTGAATAATTTTGCTCCGCTTTACTTAGGGTACGACTCAAATATGAGATCACCTTCTCTTCACCACCGATGTCTTGGAAAGTGTTGCACCTATGCCGATGTTGGACGCATCTAGTATGAACATAAGTAGGTGCATTTGGATTGAAGTGACCTAAAATTGGTGGACTTAATAGTGCTGTTTTTAGGGTTTGAAACGCTTCCTCTTGTCTTTCTGTCCAGGTAAATGATACACTTTTTTTATAAGGTTGGTCAAAGGGTCAGCAATTTTTGAAAAGTCTTTGATAAATTTTCTATAATATGAACACATTCCCAAAAAGGATTGTACTTCTTTGACCTTTTTGGGCCGAGGAAAATTTCTGACAGCTTTGATGTTATGTTCCGCGGGTTTTATACCATGTTTGCTCGTTATATAGCCGAGAATC